TCCTGGGCTGAGGATATGCAGGGCGTGGTGGCTGTCTGACTTGGAGAAGGGACCCCAGGCTCACCCGGCACCGTCCTGTGTTCTGTCTGCAGACCGAGGAGCTGAACCGAGAGGTGGCCACCAACACGGAGCTGGTGCAGAGCAGCAAGAGCGAGATCTCTGAGCTCCGGCGCACCGTGCAGGCCCTGGAGATCGAGCTGCAGTCCCAGCTCAGCATGGTAGGGGCGCGGCCAGGCCTGGGGTGGGCCCCGGGCCCCGGGCCCCGGGCCCCGGGCCCCGTGGGGGGCACCGACCACCCTTTCTGACCCTGTTCCTCCTGCACCCCTGCAGAAAGCATCCCTGGAGGGCAGCCTGGCGGAGACGGAGAACCGCTACTGCGTGCAGCTGTCCCAGATCCAGGGGCTGATCGGCAGCGTGGAGGAGCAGCTGGCCCAGCTGCGCTGCGACATGGAGCAGCAGAACCAGGAGTACAAGATCCTGCTGGATGTGAAGACGAGGCTGGAGCAGGAGATCACCACCTACCGCCGCCTGCTGGAGGGAGAGGACGCCCAGTGAGTGGGGGCCTGGGGCCAGGGCTGTGGGCCTGGGGCTGGGGGCGGGGCTGGAGAGCTCAGACCCACATCTGATCTCCCCTCTCTGTTTTCTTTGCAGCCTGACTCAGTACAAGCCCAAAGAACGTAAGAATCTTGGACCGTGGTCGCTGCGGGCGGGGCAGCACGGGGCAGGCACCCATCTGCACGTTGCTGGGGGAGGGTCCCCCGGAGCTCCAGGAAATGATGGATGATCTTTAGCGGGGGGGTGGGAGAAGGGACCCATTAGGGTTCAGGACTGATGCTCAGAGGAATCAGACAGGGAGACACTGCCTGGCCCAATGTGGGCAGGGCAGGGAGATGGTCCTTAATCCTGGAGTCCTAGTGTGATGGGGGAAACATGGTCCTAGCTCTGAAGGCCGTCCTCTGATGGGGAGGCAGGGACAAGGTCTCATGACTTTTGCTCTGAGACCCTGCAGATGGGCGAAAGCAGTCCCGGCTCTAGCCTGGAGGGAGAAAGGGGCTTGGTCCTTGTCCTCCTGATCCCAGGGAACATAACCCCCTAGCGGCTAGGCGGTGGCCGGCAAACTGCGGCTCGGCAAACCGCGGCTCGCGAGCCACATGCGGCTCTTTGGCCCCTTGAGTGTGGCTCTTCCACAAAATACCGGCTCTTCCACAAAATACCGACTTTTGTGCATGGGCCACGAAGTTTC